AGAAAATGAGAAAAGAAGGAAGGAAGGGAGGGAGAAAAGGAGGAAGAAAAGAGAAAAAAAAGACCTCAAATCAATAAACTGACCTTAAACTTTAAGAAATTTATTTTAAAAGCAAATAAAACCAAAGCAAAGAGAAGGAAATAATATTTATTACAGTGGAAATAAATTAAATATAAGGCAGAAAAATAATACATAAAATCAATTAAATCAAAAGTTGGTTCTTTGAAAGTATCAACAAAATTGGCAAACTTTTACCTAGACTGAGATAAAGACAAGACTCAAATTACTAAAATCAGGAATAAAAGAGGGGGCATCACATCTGTCATTACAGAAATAAAAAGGACTAAAAGGGAATGTTATTAAATGCTGTAAGTTAACCAATTAGATAAGCTAGGCAAAATGGGCCAATTTCTAAAAAGACACAAACTGTTTGAACTGACTAAAAAAAAAATAAAAAATCTAAATACACCTAAAACAAGTAAAGATATTGAATTAGTAAACAAAAAACTTTCTATAAAAAAATCCTAACCTAGAATGTACTAGTGAATTCTACCAAATATTTAAAGAATTAAAACTTACTTTCTCAAACTCTTCCAAAAATAGAGGAAAGTGGAACACTTGCCAACTCTTTGTATCAAAACAATATCACCATGATACCAAAATCAGACAAAGACAACCGAAGACACCAAAAGAGAAAAAAAAAAGAAATACATATGCAAAATCCTCAAAACATATTAGCAACACCATGGCATACTATTCAACCATAAAAAGATAGACATTTTACATGTTTTGTGTTTACTTGGATGGAGTTGAAACACATTCTTCTTAGTAAAGTGTCACAAGAATGGAAAACAAGTATTCAACCTACTTAATACTAATATGAAGCCAGTAGACAAACTAATACACACCCACACAAGAGAAAAACTCAATTTAATTCACATTGGGGATGAAGGGGGAGGAAAAAAGGGGGAAAGACTATACTAGTAGGTACTTGGATTCAATAAGACAGATGCTCTGGTTGATGCACCAGCTTTTGTTCTGTGGTTATGTACAGTTTGGAGAGCAAGGACAAGCAAACATCTCTGGGTGCTATTTAAAGCCTGTCTAGCGTCTCTTTCTGAGATCAAAGGGGATGATCAAAATGTGAAATGCCCTCTGCCTAACAATTTCCTACTGTACTTAACAGCTAGTTAATGTTTGTCAGCCTGGACATTTCTAGTATTAAGCTAAAAATTTTCTTGGTGTGTGATTCTTTTATTTTTAATCACACACATAAATGGATCAAAAAGTATGTTTACCTAGAAAAATTGACTTAACCAAAAATGCAAAACAGGTTTCAATGAGCTTTAGATTTCCTGGTATGTTACTTCTGACCCTAAGATAGAAGTCCACTCATTTACATGCCCATATTTGTAATATAAGCTAAGTGGCTAGAAAAAAACTCAGAATAGTCCCAAGTAAATATGGGAGGTGATACCGATGATAAAACCTAAGATTTCTCAGAAATAGTTTTAAGTGGGAAGCCTCTATTCCTACCTGGATAGTGCTTTTCTGTGGGTTTCTTAGCATGAGTCCAAACCACAAAGCACTGCCAAAGATTGCTACCCAGTATCATAAACATGGCAGTAGGTCCAATAGGCTGGATACAGGGACCTAAAGAATGGCAAAAGCAAATCAAGGAACAAATGCTGAGACTTCCCCTTGTGTTCCAGAGTTGGAAGAATAAGTAGTTGGTCCCTAGGTAGTTTTCCACTTCTTGGCAGATAGTCACTCAAATACATCTCATACCCCAGCTGCCTTTTGTTTAAAGAACTTTGTTCTGGGTACTCTCTTGTCCCCATGCTGAGTCAAAGGAGGTGGTGTCTTGATCCACAAGGTGAGTGTATTTGGTATGACCAGAGTGCCAAAGTTCTTGACCTGCATGACTTTAGGAAGAATAGTTTTGTTGAAATGATCCTCCAAGGTGGGGGCACTGAAATCTCTCTTGTATACTGCTTCATCTTCACCCATGAAGAAGGCACCCCGGTGGTAATATTTCTGTAAGAACTTGTATTTGCCCTTAACAGCTTTCTTGGTGATGACTTTGCCATTTGCCTGAAGTTCAGCTCGCCTCTCTTCCTGAGTCAGGTTTCTCATGCATTCAATTTCTGCTTTCTCCTTTTCAAGCGCTTCTCTGTCTTCTCGGTCCCTCTAGATTCTTTTCAGCTCTTGAAACTTCCATGCCTCATATTCCTCCTCATCATTTTCATCGTCAGTATTCAGTGCATCCAGTGCAGCTAAGGACCACTTGTTCTCCTCCAGCTCTTTCTTGTTCTCCTCTTCTACAATCTTGAGTGCGTACTTGCGCCTCTTTTCAGCCATGCATTTTGCTTCCTACTCCAGCTCCTTTTGTATCAGTGCTTCAGCCTCATGTTCTTGTACTGTCACTTTGTCCTTCTTTCGAATGAAGACTGGCTTAAAGTGAGACTCCATCCCATCTTCACTGTCTGTGTACTCTTCATACTCAGATTCTGAACCTGACTCTTCCCCAGAACGTCCTTCATCGTCTACTTCCATGACTTCCATCTCTTCATTTTTTCTCTCCTGTGCTCGCTGACGCATCATGCCACAGGACCACTCTGTTTCCTCATCATCAATTTCTTCTTCTTCTCCTTCATTGCTATCTTCTCATTCCATGCACCAAGCAGCTCCTTCTACTTCTGAGTCACTTTCTACTACTACTTCAGGTTCCACTGTTTTCTGAAGTTCAGCCAATCTCTCTTCCACATCTTCACTAATACGGTTCTGTAAGCACCACAGCCAAGGGTCACTAGATGAATCTTCCTCCTGTTCCTCAGGCTCTGCTTCTTGTTCTTTAGCTTTCTTAATGAACGAAAATTCTTCATCCTCCTCATCTGAGGACTCCATAGGGGCATAGTCTGGCCTCTTTCTGGATACATAACGTTTTACCTTCACTTTCTCCATTGAAATCTCACCTTTCTCATTGCTAACCAGGACAGCCCCAGCCCTCAACTGAATGGGCAGTTGCTTCATGAGTGAGTTGGGACCGACATATTGACAGCAGCGGCAGTGATTCCCAAAACTTGATTGATTCCAAACAATGAACACCAACAATATCAATGAACAGAAAAAAAATCCTTCCCACCTACCCCACAGAACACTACTGCGTGACTCTTGGCCATTGTAAATTAAGCTGCAATAAACAGTCTAGTGCAAGAGAAGCAAGAATCCTATGTACTCAATTCTGATTCGAGTACAATTAATGTCCTAGTATACGGTGGGGGTTAGGGGATGGGGAGAGCAGAGGAAGGGATGGAGGGAGAGGTGGAAGGACACAGGTGTGGTACACTTTTTGGGGACCAGACACAATTATAAGAGGGTCCTTATCTAACAAATGCAATTGATGTAACCTGGTTCTTTGTACCCTCAGTGATCCCCCAACAATAAAGAAAAAACAACCTCAGTTGTCTTTTATGCAGAAATGAACAAGCTGATCCTAAAATTCATATGTAAAGAGAAGATTGCATTTCAAACCTTGGGGAATCCTACCCCCCAATGTTTAATGACTAAACAAAGAAGAGTAACAAAGAAGCCTGAGAAGAGGAGCCAAGTGGGGTCATAGAAACCACAAAGCAGAGAGATTGAAAGAGAATGGGGTCAGCAGGGGCCACTGCTGCTGGGAGGTCAGATAAGATAAGAACTGAGATCTGTTCATTGATTTAGTGACAGGAGAGTCATGGATAGTCTCAGCAGAATCAGTTTTGTGGCATGAAAGGGCCAGAACGCAAATTGCAATGTGTTGAAGAGGGAGACAGAAGTTAAAAATAAAATAAATTAGGGTTGGCGCCTATAGCTCAGAGGCCAGGGCGCCAGCCACATACACAGGAGCTAGTGGGTTCAAATCCAGCCTTAGCCTGCCAAACAACAATAACAACTACAACCAAAAAATAGCCAGGCATTGTGGTGGGTGCCTATAGTCCCAGCTACTTGGGAAGCTGAGCCAGGAGAAGCCTATAAGCCCAAGAGTTGGAGGTTGCTGTGAGCTGTGATACCACAACACTCTACCCAGGGTGACAGCTTGAGACTCTGTCTCTAAATAAATAAAGCTACAAATGTTTAATAGTGGCTCAATTTAGAATCACAAAGATGTGAAAATAATATAAACACCTGTCAACCCATGGAAGGATTAATAAACTGTGACATATGTATGCCATGGAATACTTTATGTTCAGCCATAAGAAAGATGGACACTTTACATCTTTCTTTTGTATTTACCCGGATGGAGTTAAAGAGTGTTCTCTTTAACTTGGTAAAGCATCTCAAGGATGGAAAAGCAAACACTCTGTGTACTAATTTTAAATGAGTAGATGAACAACTATAAGCCCACATGAGAGAAAAACATAATTAAATTCAAGCAGGGGGAAGGGGAAAAGGTAAGGGGACTCAGTAAGCTTCCATCTGACAGATACAATGTAAATGTACATGGTGCACCTCTTGGGTGAAGGACTCAGCTACAACTTGAATACTACCTAACAAAGGCAAACAGTGTAACCCAATCATATGTACTCTTATTAATCCAAAAATTTTTTAAAGAGACAGTTTAGAGATTAGGGCAAAATGACAAGGATCTAGGCCATCAGGGCCCTGTAGACCAGGACAAGGACCTTGGATTTCACTCTAAGTCAGTGGTTCTCAACCTCCTTCCTAATGCCACGATGTATTTTCATTGTTACAAAGGGGTCACCACCCACAGGTTGAGAACCACTGCTCTAAGTGATATCAGAAAACATTGGAAGGTTTTGATCAAAAAAGATTCCAAAATTGACCACTGTTATTTGTTTCTTTCTCTGTTTCCCAGTAGCCTGTGAATTTCTGGGTCCTTGGAGGCTGTTCCTATTGACCTCCACCTGGCCCACAATAGGTTGTCAGTGGGTGTATGTGGGCATTCACTGAATCAAGATGTTATGAAACTCAAGGTTCTGGGTATGTGCTTCCTACAGGTTGGCCAACTGTGGCCTCACAGCGGAGGGCTGCAAGGACCTTGCCTTTGGGCTGAGCACCAGCCAAACCCTGACTGAGCTGGAGCTGAGCTTCAACATGGTCACGGATGCAGGAGCCAAGCATCTTTGCCAGAGACTGAGACAGCAGAGTTGCAGGCTGCAGCGACTACAGTAATTGTCCTGGGTTGACACGGTCTTGTAGGGTGGACATGGGAGGAACAGGAAGCTGCCTGCCTGTGTCAGGCAGACCAGGGGAGGGGCAGAGAGAATTGGAGATCTGCTTTGGGAGTGGGGAGGGGCCTACAGGATGTCAGCCAGGCTGTGGAGGCTCAGGAGGAGACTCACCCACACCTGGGCTGAGGGACGTGGCCTCTGGGCTTCAAATCCAGCATGAGCACCCAAGTCCCAATGGGCACAGTCTTTCCAAGCCCCTGTTTAAGTCACATTTGCTATTGTCCCATTGGCCAAAGCAAGTCCTGTGATAGCCAGGCCAAGATTCCAGGGGTAGAGAGATAGATTCAAGCTCTTGGTAGAAGACATTACCCAGGGTCATGGACACAAGGTGGTTCCAGGGAAAGAATGTATGATGATTAACAGTACCAACTTCACAGACTTGTTATGGGGGTTAGTGGATGAAGTACTTAGCACAGTGCTTGCTGTTGCTCTCCTGGTCTCAACAGCTGGGATCTGCCTAGTAACAGGGACTCCTACTCGGCCTGGGGCTCAGTCAAAGAGTTAAAATCACTGGTGTCCACTTAATTCAATCTTTTATCTCATCCAAGAAGCCAGTGTCATGCCCCATATAGAATCAAGGGGACTGTTCACCTCTCCCTGAGACCCCAGGGCCCCTTACCCTGACACACAAAGTTACACACACAACCCTCTGCTCAGAAGGCTGCCATCAGGGTCTCTTCCATAGAAGCAAGTACTTCCCTCCTTATTTCCCAAAGTCAAACCTCTCCCCTTCCCAGGGCCATTGCCTGTTTCCCACTCAATAATGCTGAGCCAAGAGTTAACAGGATGGGTGGACAGGAAGGGGACCCCCTCTAACATCAGAGGTCAGTGATTCCTGGAAGGCTACAACTCAGTAGGTCCTGTAAGATTTCTTCCTCACTACTTTTGTCAAGATTGAATCTGAGAGGTTAAATTACTTTACTAAGGTCACACAGCTGAGAAGAAACAGCATTAGGATTTTGAAGTCAGGTTTGATACCTGCTTTTCTACTTTCCCAGGCCCCTCTCTGAGCCAAGACCCTGTGAGGGCTATGTGATATGTTACTAGCAAGGACTGCAAATAAGGTCCTGAGCTTTCTGCTGAGGGCTGAGAAGACCCAGATGTGGGAGCCAAAGGTTCTAGAAGCACGGCTGAGGCCCCAAGGGCAGAGGACCCCCAGACAGCCTTCCCCAGAGACAGCCTGTGTACACACAGCATAAGCAGACACATAGCCCTTTCCTTACATAAATGGCAGCACACCACAAACACTGTCCTGCACTTTGCTTTGTCTTGGAGATGGCCCCACATCAGTGCATACAACATTGCTGCATCTCTTTTAATGGCAGGAACACGTATATTTACCATTTGTTTTTAATCAAGCTCTTGTTATAGGCATCCAGGTTTTCTCCAGTCTTTGCCCCCATGAACAGTGCTGCTGTTGACCTCTTTCTTATGCATCCTGAGACACAGTGGATTATCTGTGGCCTAAATTCTGCAAAATAGAATTGCTGGGTGAAGGATATGTACATTGCTAATTTTGTCCTCTAAATAGATTACTGGCCAGGCTCGGTGGCTCACTCCCATAATCCCCGCACTCTGGGAGACCGAGGAAGGTGGATTGCTGGAGCTCACAGGTTCAAGACTCCTCTGAGCAAGAGCAAGAGACCTCATCTCTAAAAATAGCTGGGCGTTGTGGTGGGTGCCTGTAGTCCCAGCTACTTGGAAGGCTGAGGCAAGAAAATCACTTAAGCCCAAGAGTTTGAGGTTGCTGTGAGCTATGATGCCACAGCACTATACCAAGGGCAACAAAAGTAACACTCTGGCTCCAAAAAAAAAAAAAAGAGGTTGTACTAATCAAAGTGCACATTGATTATCATGATTAAATAAATTACATTGAGCCTCATCCATAGGCACCCCAATGTCAGTCCCTCCTGGAACATCTCTGTAACCCCCACACTGCAGGGAGAGGGAAGAACTTTATCTGGAAAGAAAGCATACACCAGCCTGCCTTTCCATCCCTCTCCCTTCACCCCTCTGTGATACTCAGCCCATGAACAGCAAGGGGCTGCCCTGGCCAGCAGACCCCACCTCTACACAGGGCCTTCAGCCCAGCTCCAAGAGAGGCAGAGTTACCCACCCAGATACCTAAGGCAGGCTGTGGGACAGTGGCACTGCTCAGCATGGCATATGGCATGCCAGACACTGTCATCAGTGTGCACTCCCAGTGTAATGGGGAGCCTAGGAACCTCAGTTCCTCCTGAAGCCATCATACTCCCCTTCAATTTTTATTCTTCTTTGAGATAACTCATTTTTTTCCTGAACTGCAGACCCTCTTACTATTGAAACCTACCAAAGCATCCTATGGCCACTGACTTGGGGTGTTTGGCAGGGCTGATGTGATTGACAGACCAGTGATCTTCAACCAATATGCCATGACATACTGGTGTACCAAGAGATGATTTTGGATGTGCCATGAAAATTTTCAAAGATTATTAATTAAATTATTTTCAAAAGAAGTTCAAAGCACAGTAAATATATTCCTTTTTTAACTTTTTTTTTTCAACATAATTTAAGTGTGTCACAGAAGTTTAACTATAGTTTCAAGTGTGCTATAAAACAAAAGAGGTTGAAAAAACATTGAGTTACACCCAGGTATACACATGGAACATTGGGCAAATCATTCCTCGAGATTGAAGTGGTGACTACTAGAATTTGAGGTGGGTGGATTGAGAAAGGGAGGTTGCTTCTTGGCTATAAGAGGAAAGTAAAAATCTCCCAGATTACTGCAATCCAGGAAAGTTTTTATCTTCCCTAATGTCACTGCAGGGCCCCCAAAGGGTCATAGCTACAGGAGAGGGGGACTAGACCCCAGTTACCCAGATGAGTGAGTACTGATGATAATGACTACGGGACCATGTGTGTCTCTCCTGCAGGCTGGTCAGCTGTGGCCTCACATTCAGCTGCTGCCAGGACCTGGCCTCTATGCTCAGCACCAGCCGCAGCCTGAAGGAGCTGGACCTGCAGCAGAACGACCTGGGAGACCTTGGTGTGAGGCTGCTCTGTGAGGGGCTAAGGCATCCCGCCTGCTCACTCACGCTCCTGTGGTAAGGCCCTGTGGGCCCCCTCTGGGCAGAGGGTATGGGAGTGAGGGCAGTAGGGTGGCAAGGGATCGGATCAAGGAAGGAAAAGGGGCTGCTAAATGCATAGTCAGCTTGGATTTCTTACTGGGTCTGCCTCTTACTTACACAGGCCACTCAGGAAAGTCACTGTCCCCTCTGAGATCCAGTCCCTTCATCTGTGGAATGGGAATATCATACCGACTTCATGGATTATAATAAAACAAAATGTATAAAGAACAAGGCTAGTGCTAGGAAGAGTTAGACACGATCAAATAATAAGTGTTAGTAAGGCTGCGTGTTCTAAGGGACTCCAGCATCACTGCAGGGCAGCACTTCATTCATTCACTCATTCATTCATTCACGGCATGCCTCCCATGTGCAAGCACTGGGCCAGGCCCTGGGGATAGGACAGTGAGCAAACAGGCCTGGGTCCTGCCCTGGTAAATTTAAACTCTACTGGGAAAGAGATAAACATTGCTCACCTAAGAACGCACAAATGCATATGCATCATCTCTGTTGAGTTCTATGAAAGGGAATCATGGAGTATTATGAGAATTTAACTCTGGGGGAGGATAGAATTAGGTTGAAGGGCCAGGAAGGGCTTCTCTGAGGAAGGGACATCAGACTGAGGCCTGAAAGGGAAATAGGAGTTGCCCAGGCTACTTTGGGGAGAGCTGTCCAGGCAAGAGATAGAGTGGGGAGAGGGCCCAACAGACTCGGGCTCGAGCACCTAGACCCTGAGACCCCTGCAGAGCCCTGTGTGACTGGAGTGGAATGAGCCCCCAGCCTTCAATTCCCATCCTGCAGGCCCCAGAGACTAATGTCCTTCCCCAGGTAGTCACTCCCACACCATTTCTGGGCCACTTGCTCTTTCTTCCACTTCCCTGTAAGCAAGCCCATGGGCCATTTCTGCTGAACACTTCCTTATAGCTTGACGGGGCCATGCCACATGCTCAAGGAGCTAACAGAAGCTCCAGATACTAGGTCCAGAGTCTCAGGTCCTGCTCTGAGTTCTCAGAGCGGTTCTGGAATCCTGGGCCCCTGGGCTTTCCTCAGCCAGGCCTCCTGCTCCCTCTCCCAAACCTAAAGGAGGAGTCAGGGCAGCATAACAAGGATAAACAATCTTCACTTGGGCCTGTCTTCTGGAGCTAAAACTGGCCACTTACAACCAGAGGATTCCAGCCCTGGGACCAGCACCTTCCCACCCCCAGCCTGCTGGCCACTGAGTACTGTTGGCTGTAACCATCTACCCCAAGTTGAAGAGCCAGAGCTTGGCCAGCATGGTCATCAAACCTCTGCTGCCTGGGAAGGAATGTGGCTCCTTGAGGTCTTGTGAAGGTGCCCCATCCTTCCCTCTTGTAGCCCAGGACTTGGTTGAGAGGGACAACTGTCTACTGTTTGGGCTCCATCCCCTCCCCAAGAGTAGAACAGCTTTGCTCACAGTAGGGTGACAAAGGCCTGGCCCTTTGGGTGAGGGTCTTGTCACCTCCTGCCTTATTTACATCTCATAACAGGCAGAGCAGGAGAGATTCACCCATGACTAAGGACACAGAGATCCAGAAGAGGCAATATATTTGGGCAATAACTGTCCCAAGTTTGGCAGAAACCCCAGAATACAAGGCCTGTGAGACTGGAAACAGGACTCTCTCTTTCCAGCAAAACTTCCAACCTCCAGGAAAAAAAACCCAGGACCCAGGCCCTAGGTGGTCACTATGAGGACATGGGAAGTGCCACTGGTAGCTGGCTGCAAGGATGGCCCCTGCCAATGACAGCTTGTCACCAAGGTCACACCTGCTTCCTGGTGTGGCCTGCATCCAACATCTGACGCCTGACAGATGTTGGGATACAAAGGCACAGACTCTCATCCCAACCCCAGACAGCTCTAAAGGGCCTGCCCAGCTTCAGAACTGCCCATAGGGCTAAAAGAGGCCTCTCCTGAGATGGTCTGGCACCCACTTCTCCCTCTGCCCAACCCACTTCCCTCCCTCCCCTTACCCTGGTGTGGACCCCAGAACACTCCCTAGTAAAATTCCTCACACAACTCTCCACCATAGAGCCTGACTCCCAGGGATCCCAACCTGGGACAGAGTCCTTTAGGAGGAGCAGGACCCTGGATTCTGGATGGGCCCTGAGGGCCCAGGGAGCACGTGGGGACCTCAGGAGAACCAGGCCCTTTTTGTGCTTGCAGGCTGGACCAGGACCCTCTGGGTACAGAGCTGAAGCAGGAGCTGAGGACGCTGGAGAAAGAGAAGCCTGCACTGCTCATCTCTAACAGGTGGGAAAGGGTCCCCAGAACTCCCTCTGGCTGGCACAGACTCAGGGCTGAGCCTAGAGACAGGGAAAGATTCTTAGAGTGAGAGAGACAGACAGAGCCAGGAGGAAACCAGGAAGCCACAGCAGCCAAAGTGAGGTTAGTTAATGAAAATAGAATCAAATCACCTTCCTGCTGAAACCCTTTCTGTTAGACAAATAAGGGGATGGAAAGTGAAAAAGTGAGTGGGTGAGTGAGTGAATCCTCTGGGGCCACCATAGTGTGATACTAAATGACCACAAGTACAGGCTCCTTCAGTGCAGACCAGGGAAGATTTGGAACAATGAAAGCAATGCCCACATGGGGGAGACAGAGACACAGACCACTCTCACCATCACTGCAACTCACACACAGGTACACACACAGCCACACACATACACACCCTTGGCTTGAGGGGCAAGTCCCAAGCCCCTGTAACAGCAAAATCCATTTTCCATCCCCAGGAATCTGCTTTCAGCCCCTTATTCTCTCAGTTGGCACATTTCAGCCTGTATCTGTAAAGTGCTGTCCCCAAGTTCCTAGCTGCTATGCTCTGCTTACAATAGAGGAGAAAGAGCTCCTCGTTTTAGGCAGAGGCAGCCATCCACTGAACGGACATTCCCTGAAAAACCACTACGTGTTGGGCACTATTTAGGGATCTGAGTTCACAGCAATGAACAAGAAAGACACAGCCCAACCTCCAGGAGTGTAGTCCCAGGGAGACAGGCACAAGTTACCCTACACGTCTACATTACTGCACCTGGGCTGGGTGTGAGCTCACTCATGGGCCCATCTGGCCCTGTGCAGAGGAGCTGACCTGAGCTCTGACAGATGGGAAAGGTTGGCTGGGCCAAAAGGGTGTGGATTCTAGGCAGAAGTAGGAACTGTGAGGGAGGGGAGATTCTAACCCTATAAGGAACAGAAGGAAGCCAGGAGTCTGGAGCAGCACTGCTCAGAGTGTGGCCCATGGAGCAGCAGCAGCACAATCACCGTCACCCAGAGCTCCAAGAACTGCAGAGTCCTGGGGCCTATTCAGACCTGCTGAATCTGAATCTCTGGGAGCTTGCAGAGGCAAGTCATCTGTATTTTAGCAAGCCCCCCAGGGGACATTTAAACACATTGAGTTTGAGAACCACTGGTCTATAGGCCAGTGGGCAGGGAGAAAGTGGCCTTGATGGAGTTGCAGAGGGACAGGGACCATAGCAAGGCCTTTTGGACCACATTAAGAATTATCCGTTTTCCCCCAGAAACAATGGAGAGACATTACAGGGCTTCAGCACCCACAAGATATACCCAATTCATATGTGCCAGTCACCTGCTGTGCAGAAAATGGGCTGTGGAGGAAACAGAGTGAAGCAGGAAGACCTTTCAGGGGACACTGCAATGGTTCAGACCACAGATGCCAAGGCCCAGCCCTAGAGTGGTCATTATGGAGGCAGAAGAAAGAGAACAGAAAGCAAAGCTATTGGGAGGTGCTGCCAAGGTGATCAGCACTCAGGATGGGACTGGGTAGGAGACATTAATGGAGACAGGGGCTATAGAAGTAGCAGAAGTTGAGTTCAAATTGATAACAGTTGAATTTTAAGCAGGGATATCATGTATATAGCCCTAGCTTTCTCCAAGAACATAAGGAAAATGAACAATTCTCAATTCTGGATGCAGGAAGCCAATTGTGATGAACCCTAAGGATGGTGGAGAGAAGAGTAGTAACGTGTCCTCACTCAAGCAGCAGAAGCAAGTATCAGGTAGTCTGAAGGAGCCAGGCTGGGAGGATCATGATGGGTGGGGGAGGGGCAGCCATGGGAGGTCATCCCTCCATGCCCCTGCCTCTGATGCCGGATGGGGCAGGTTCCCCACCAGGGAGGGCCCCTCTCATCCATGATCTCTTGCACCTAGAACCTGCCTGAATTTCTGCTCCCTCTCCCCCAGCCTCAGGGCCTGGTGCTGTCTATCTCCAGAACTTTTATGGCATGGGTCTAAGTTGGAACCAGGGCCATCTCCCATTCTAGGCTGCTGAGGCCTGGGAATCACCTCTCCATCCCTGCCCATCCATCTTCTAAGCCATGTTCCTCTTCCCACCTGCCCTCCTGGGGACATGCTGGGAAGAGTAATACTCTGGACCAGTGTGGCAGGGCAGACAGGCAGAGGCTGGGTTGAGGGCAGTGGGGAAGGCGTCCACAGAAGATGCGAGAGGCATCCACAGCCTCAGGTGCAGGGATGGAGACTGCAGACATACTCTCTGCCACAGGCCAGCCTTGGGAAGGGGCTCAAAGGTCCAGTGTGGGGACTAAGGGGAATCTAGAGCTGACCACTGCCCTGCTATTCTAGAGGGAAGCTCAGCACAGGCAGAACAGGTGGACCTTCTCTCTCTGTCTTCTCCTGCACCTCCAGAGGACTTGCACATGGAACCTCCGAGCACCAAAGATGAATTTTTGGGCCCCACAGGGCCTGTGGCTGCTGAGGTAGTTGACAAAGAAAGAAAGAACCTGTACCGGTGAGTGATGCTGGCCTCCACTCCCCAGCTATCCATTGGGTCCCCTCAGATAGTCAGCACCCCACTTACTCCTGTATTGGGGTCCCTCTCCTTGCCAAGCCAGCAGGCAGGGATAAGGCTGTGATACTGGGGTGTGTGTGTGTGTGTGTGTTTTGTTAAGGAAAAGTATGGTTTCTTGTAATGTACACAATAGAGAGTACCAAGAATGTCCATGTAGTCATTACACAGCTTCCACCATAGTTTTGTTTGTTTGTTTGTTTAGTTTTATTTTGTTTTTATTTCTTATAGTAAACTATGTACATTAATGCAACCATGGGGTACAGTGTGCTGTTTTCATATACATTTTGAAATACTCTCATCAAACTGGTTAACATAACCTTCATGTCATTTTCTTGGTTATTGAGTTAAGACATTCATACTCTGCTTTTAGAAAGATTCACTTGTACCCTTGTAAGATAAACCAAAGAGGTGACCCTACCAATCACCCTCCCTCCCCCATCCACCCCCCTCACCTCCCCTCTCCCAACCCCCTTCCCATATTCTAAGGCTATAATTAGGTTATGACATTCCTATAAAAGCTATGAATTAGTTTCAGAATAGGGCTGTGTACATTGGATACTTTTTCTTCCATTCTTGAGATACTTTGCTAAGAAGAACATTTTCTAATTCCATCCATATAAACACGAAGGAGGTAAAGTCTCCATCTTTCTTTAGGGCTGCATAGTATTCCATGGTGTACATATACCACAGTTGTTTGATCCATTCGTGAGTTGATGGGCATTTAGGCTTCTTCCATGACCTAGCAATTATGAATTGGAATTCTATAAACATTCTGATACAAATATCTTTGTTGTAATTCGATTTTTGTTCTTCTGGATATATACCTAATAAAGGAATTGCAGGATCAAATGGCAGGTCTATTTTCAGATCTCTCAGTGTTCTCAAGATGTTTTTCCAAAAGGAACAAATTAATTTGCATTCCCACCAGCAGTGTAGAAGTGTTCCCTTTTCTCCACATCCACGCCAACATCTCTGGTTTGGGGATTTTGTGATATGGGCTAATCTTATTGGGGTTAGGTGGTACCTCAAGGTAGTTTTGATTTGCATTTCTCTGATGATTAAGGATGGAGAGCATTTTTTCATATATCTGTAGGCCATGTGCCTATCTTCTTTAGAGAAATTTCTCTTCAAGTCATTTACCCACCCTGAGATGGGATCGCTTGTTTTTTTTCTTGCTAATATGTTTGAGTTCTCTGTGGATTCTGGTTATTAAACCTTTGTCGGAGACATAACCAGCAAATATCTTCTCCCATTCTGAGGGCGGTCTACCCATTTTATTTACTGTGTTCTTGGCTGTGCAGAAATAAGTTTGATCAGGTCCCAAAAGTATATTTTTGATATTGCTTCAATTGCCCAAGGGGTCCTCCTCATAAAATTTTCGCCCAAGCCAATTTCTTCAAGTGTTTTCCTTATGCTTTCTTCTAGTATTGTTTCATGTCTTAAGTTTAAATCTTTAATCCAGTGAGAGTCTATCTTAGTTAATGGTGAAAGGTGTGGGTCTAGTTTCAGTCTTCTACAGGACAACATTCCACCACAGTTTTGTCAAATTCATTTAAACTATTCATTTTCTCCTTCTTTGGTTATTTTTACAATATTTTATTTTTCAGTTTTCACAACTGCCTATTTCACAAAAATTTTTACAGTATATTTTTTGACAAGAGGACCCTTTACAATATTTTAAATTTAAGACATCAGTTGATTTTATCCTTAAATATTTTATTTTGCATCCCAAAAGTAACAATAAAGACCTTTTCTTTCATAACCATAGTGCCATTATTACATCTAACCAAGGCAGTAATAAGTCCTTTGTATCATCTAATAGTCCACATTCAAATTTCTTCAAATATCTAAAATATGTTCTTGCAGGTGGTTTGTTCTAATCAGGATCAAAACCAGGTCAGTTTATTGTATTTGGTTTGTTATGTCTCTTAAATCTCATTTAATCTATATGCTCCCATTTTATAAAAGGCTGCTGTGTGCTAAGGACTATACTAGTATTAACCAGTTGAAGACCCTAAAATAGTGACCCTGCCCTGCCCTCCAAAAGCTTCAGAGTGTGGCACATGGAGCAGCAGCATCACCATCACCATCACCCAGTGCTCTAAGAATTGCAGAGTCCTGGGGCCCAGTCAAACCTGCTGAATCAGAATCTCTGGGGGCTTGAGGGGACAAGTAATCTGTTTTAGCAAGCCCTCCAGGGAACATTAGTACATTAGGATGTTAGTCTATAATCATAGCCATGGTCTCTTATATACCACATTATCACTCACCAAATACTATCACAGACATTATCTCAGCTGGGGGGCAATGTCACTGCCAACTCACACCTACAGAAGCTTGTAGCCTGGCACTCAACTGCTTGCACTTGGGAGCCTTGGAAAAGTCACTTAATATCACTATAAAGCATTGTCATCTCTGAGGGTTTACCATGAATATTAGCATGTACACAAAATAGAAAAATCCAGAAGAGAATTGTGGGAAGATGGCTGACTAGAAGCAGCTTTTGCCAGAGGCTCATGCCCAAAGGGAGAGATATTGGATTGAAGTAGAAGGAAACCAAATGAGAGGAGCTCCGCACTGAGAGGACTGCTGGTGGTACACATCACCCAGGCTGAACCAAGTAGCAAAAATAAGAAAATGAAAGAAAAACAACAGGTACCAGCCCCACTCTCAGAGGAAGGGAGACCCCTTCCCTCAAAGAGGAGCTCCATGGTGGGCAACCAGTCAGCCAGCAAACTGGTCTCAAAAGTCTTCTCACCTTATCTTACAGGAGAGCAGTTGCTATGTCCCAGTCCTTCATTACTGAGGTCCCACCACTGGTACCACCACTGGACTGGCCTCATTCTGTCAGGTACAAAAGACCAAATATTTTGCCTGCAATCCTGAGCACCCAGATCACCCTTTCCCCACCCTAGTTACTGGAAGGACTTCCCCCTGTAGAGTCCAGAGTGCTTGAGGAGCTCACTGGGAAGCTGGGAAATCTGGGGAAGTCTGCCAGCCACGGAGCTGCACCATGAGAACATTAGCAGAGCAGTCCAAATTTTGTGGGGAGATGGTGAACTACTCATCTTCAGCTCCTCAGAAATTCTCAGGCAGCTCTGTTTTCTGCCCTTCAGGACAACTTCTGAGCTCCACTGGGTGGGCAGGGCCAGTGCTTAAATGACTTTGAGTTGTGACTGAACTTTGGACATGCCCCCTCCACCAGGCACAGCTCTCTGAACTTGATTGGATGAGCAGGAGGGTGTCTAAGTGACTTTGAATGGAACTTTGGACCTCTGGCCTCCCACAGCCAAGGCTCTCTGAACTCGACTTGGGGGACAGGGCTGGGGTTTAAGTGACTTTGGACTGAACTTTGGACTTCTGGCCTCCAACAGGAGGGGCTCTCTAAGCTCAGTTGGATGGTTTAAGTGACTTTGAACTAAAATTTGGACCTCTGGCCTCTGCCAGATGGGGCTCTCTGAGCCAAATTGAGTGGGCAGGGCTGAGGTTTAAGTGACTTTGTACTGAACTTTGGATTAACACTCTCCACTGGGTGGAGGCTATCTTGGCTCAATTGGGTGGACTATTCCTGGTGCCTGAATGACTCTTATCTGAAATTTGGACCTACAACCCCTGCCGGACAGCAGCCCCATGAACTTGATTGAGCAGACGGTGCCCAGTCCCTGAGCAACTTTGAGCTCTGGACATACACTATCTACAGAGCTTCAGCCCTCACTGTTCAATTGGCTGGATGGTACTCAATGCATAAGCATCTCTCCTGAACTCTGGGCCAGCACTGTCAGCAGGTCAGCTTCATGAGCTTGATTTGGTGGGCAAAGCAAGCACTGGCAGAGCAACTTTGATTGGAACTCTGGGCCAGTACTGTCTACTGATTTTTGTCCCCCCTGGAAACACTGTCTAGGGCTATAGATTCACCACTTGTCTGCCTTTGTTAGTGTAATGGTGGCACTGCAATGGTAAGGAGTGGATTTATCAGGGACAACCTATCAATTCAACTAAAACAGTATAATTAACATATTTAAAAAGAGGAAAAGGAATAACTTAAAATGATTCATGAAGAGGAATTGGCTGAAGAACTCTGGCAACATGAAAAATCAGAGCAGATCAACGCCTCCTGGGAATGTCAAAGAAAATACAACAGAGAATCCCATCCCCAGAGAAACTGCTAAAATGTCAGAAACAAAATTTAGAATATGGATGGCAAATAAGATAATTGGAATGGAGGAAAAGAGGGAAACAGAGAACAAAAAAATAGTACAGAAGTTATCTCAAGAAATTAATGAATTCAGAGACAAAGTCATCAAGGATATGGACAAAATGAGGAAAGATATAGCAGACCTTAAGGAATTGAAAAAGGTATTTGAGGAGCTTCAAAATATAGTAGAATCCCTTAGAAATAAAGTTGAGCAATGCAAAGAAAGAATCTCAGATAAAGAAGACAAGACTTAGGAACTATCCTAAGCATTCAGAGAGGCAGAAAAATGGAGAAAAAGAACAGAATATTCCCTGAGAAAGTTATGCAATTTTTCCAAGAAATCAAACATCCAAATTATCGGGATCCCTGAAGGAGAAGAGAATGGTCCCAAAGACATAAATTTTCTGCTTCAGGACATTATGGCAAATAATTTCCCATGTATTGCAAGAGACATAGAAATTCAGATAGTAGGTAGTTTCAGAAACCCAGCATGACTCAATCTAAACAAAGCATCTCCTAGACACATTGTAATTAATTTTACCAATGGTAATATAAAGGAAAAACTTCTGCAAGCAGCCAGGCATAAGAAAATTATTACTTACAAAGGGAAAACTATACTGATTTTTGATCTGCTCTGATTTTTCATGTTGCCAGAGTTCTTTAGCCAATTCCTCTTCATGAGTCATGACTGCAGATCATCGTTTTTGGCTTTCTTAGAAAGCCAAAACTTTCCAAGAAAAGGAAG